GATGATTGGTCAAAGGTAGAAATCATAGTTTTAGTCATTTTTGATTCAGTATTTCTATTAGAGTAAATTCATAAATTACCTATGCCTAATGGTTACCGATAGTTATTTATGCGAAATAGTAAATTCGACATTTATCACTATTTGACCCAATTTAACTTGGTACACTGTCAAAATTAGATTTGTACAAAGAGTTTAAATAGCAAAAGAATTAACTTTTCTCGTATTTTGCATTAACATTGATGGGACGTCCGCCCTCTCTAGAATGGAGGAAATAATTTTGACAATTTGACAAAGTAGAGAAGCTAAGGAACAAACAAACCCGAGCGGTGCCTAGGGTTTATACAGGGAACAGTTAATTTAACTGTTCCCTGGTTTATCTGTTGATAATAAACATATAGGAATGGAGGAAATTGCTCCGTGGACGCCCTCATCGACGTTTCACTATATCGCGAACTGCTCTATCTTCTTCTATTTACTATCTTTGATTTGTATGAATACAAAGAAACAAAAAAAGTAAAGTAAAATGAAAATAAAAAAATAAAATATAATAAAAATTAAACAAATAAAAATCCCATATACATAGTTTGGTAGAGGGCCACGTAAAATACATAAGATCCCATACTAGTGTGATACAATATAATAATTTAGTTTATTTTTTATATATAGTAGGACTATACAACAATTTAACAATTGAAATAATATTATTTAAGTTAAGTTAATAAATCGGTGTGTAGACAGTTTTCAGTAACTAATCGTATTGAATGATTTTCATTTAGTCTTTTGAAGATTTGAAATTCTTCTGTCATGTTGTGGTGAATTTGCTTAGTAAATCCATTGTCAAAGTAATGATACTTAATTGGTAATCCCCTCGGGCTTACTGAGAATGGGTAGACGCCATACACTGATATTTTGCGACAAAATGTAAAAGCAAATGCTAAAATACGAAGTCCAGCAGTGGGTAATTTCGACACCGACCATAATCTGTAAAAATAAACAATGAGAACTTTATTTATTTTCAACTCAAAAATTGTGTTTTCCTTATAGGTAAGTTTTTATTTTAAAGTTTATCTAGCTAAAGTTAATGTTTTTTTTTTTTTGACTTATTTACTTAGCTTAATATTGACTGCGCCTTTTTGAGGTTTTATATCTGCAGTAAAATCATTCGTAATGTAAAACTGAAAACATATATGGATAGAAAAAAGCTTGAATTATGTTGGTACCAAACTTTTAATTAACTATCTGTTTTGTCAAATTACAAACAAAAGAGTTCATAACGTGTAATTGATTTTTTTGAGTTAGACTAATTTACTTTCTGCTTAAAATCAAACAATTGAAATTTTTGCTGTAAGATATTTTACAGCTTTCATTTCAAAGTCTATGTTGCGCTTAATGATAGTGTGCACCAAATGCAATAACAGGGGTGGCTCCAAAATTTGCAAGACGTGGTGGTCCGATGTCCCCGACGGGGGTGACGGGATGGGGGAGGGGGAACTACCCGACGAAAACGTGAGCCACATTTGTGTAATATGTGAGGAATGCTCAGCGTGCACGTGTTTACAACCTTTCACACTCGGGGTGCTGCAAATTTAACACTGTGTATTTTGTGTTATGCGATCAAAGCTTTTAGCTCTTGTTATTTTATAAAGGGGTCTCTAATGAGGTTACGGTTTGGTACCAAAATATATTCTACAAATGTTATCTATGTAAATGTGTTTTAGTTATAGATTGCAAATGAGTTTACTGGAGATATCAAACTTTAAAAAGGTATAGACACATTTTGGGCACGAGTTTTGTAATCACTTTCTCATTTTATTATGTAAATCTACTCGCAATTCAGTTTCAGTAAGTCATTTAAGTAGCAATAACTGTGAAAAAATAGGATACAATTTTTTATATAAAAAATTTAAATATATTTCGATATTTGAAAGAACATTTTTTTTTTCATTGAAATTAAACGCACATTTAATGTGTGTTTAATTTCTAGCCATTGTACTTTGTGTTACCTTTTAACAACTTCTGTCGTTTTCATAGCTGGGACTCTAAGGTCAAGAAGATTCTGCCTTCTTACTGTATTTATAAACGCTGATACTTGCTTTTTATATGGTTCTCCCATCTCAGGAAATCGTGGTAACACTACTATTGAGTTTTTTAGTTGTTTAATTTGATGACGATACTTTTGCTTACATGGATCACGACTTTTACGCAGACATTTGTTCAAAATAACACATATCGGTGTATTCAAGCTCATAAGATTTGTTCGATCACCGACGTCGTTTTCGAATCCCTCTGTCTCTGCCATATTTAGTCGCATTATGAAATCATGTGCAGATATTTCTTTTCCGCATTGACTACCTGTCAGTATTCCAGAGCTTCCTACAACAGCACAACGGTTGAGTAACTTAATTTGCTGTGATGCTTTTCTTGATTCATGCGACGGGAAAAGAACATCACTAGTCATTTTATTTCGCCTTAGAAAGTTGCTGTAAAAATTTAGAACATTATTTTTCTTTAAAATTAATTATTAAATTATTTAATTTTAGTAATCGATTATGCAACACATTCTCTTTATAAAAATAAAACATTTTAATATTAACAGTAGTTGAAAAATAACTATCTGAAACGGTAGTTTATTTTGAATTCCTTTTATTATTTTAACGTGTTTAACGTCACAATTTTTATTCTTTTCAGCTTGCTTGATCTCGGAAGAGATACTCTGTTACGTGTGACGTGTGTGTGTTTGGGGGTGTGGGGGGGGTGTTGAATAGTGTTGTATCTGTATATCGTATGCTATAGTGTGACAATAATTGTCTCCAATCGGAATGAAAGCCACATTGGCCCAGTTGACAACAAAAGATCCTGGTCTGCCAAATACAGTATATTATTTTATAAACATAACATAATAATTATAATAATAGGCCTAACATTATATTATATAAATAATAAATAATAATAACGGTGCAGAAATAGGAACATAAAGGTCCACTGATTAATCTCAGATATGATAGTATAGTGTTGTATCTGTGTATCGTATACTATAGTGTGACACTAATTGTCTCCAATCGGAATGAAATCACAGTGGACCAGTTGACAACAAAAGATCCTGGTCTGCCAAATACAGTATATTATTTTATAAACATAACATAATAATTATAATAATAGGCCTAACATTATATTATATAAACAATAAATAATAATAACGGTGCAGATAGGAACATAAAGTTCCACTGATTAATCTCAGATATGATAGTATAATACATGCATTATACCATCTTAAATAGGAAAATGTTGTAGTAATCGTATCAAGCAGAGCTCATCAACGAAATGTTTCTTTATTCCAGTCGTACGAAAATAAAAGTATTTCTGGCGGAATTCGAAACTGCAACCTCTCGCTGTCACATTCATTAAACCACATGTAGAAACCTATCGGAGATACCTGCAGTTCTAACCAGTGGCGGCTCTATGATATATTTTCTGGGGGCTAAGTTGTCCGACAGGGGACTTGAGCTCGTAGGCTCGAGCTGAATGAAGGGGTTGAGAGGTGGTTTCCCCCTCCCAAATGAGATTTTTTTAAAAGAATATCAACCTCTGGATGTCCGAAAATGGCACTCTCAGACTGTGACAGACATGTGTTGGCTTGGTGTGGGCCTATTTTTATGTTTTTATGGTCCGTCCGACGGGGGGGGGGCTTGACCTGCCCCCCCCCCGCTGGCGCCGCCACTGGTTCTAACCCCCAGTCACCTTTTGTCAAACAACTGACTTAACGCTCACACATAGTAGAGCTCCAGTTATTATTATTATTTGTTTATAGCACTCATCATCATCATCTTCATCATGTCTCTTTATAGTAATAATAATAAACAGTCAATTCTTACCGTATATTTGTAACCTTTTCATTATTTATAGCCTTATTTAAAACAAAACGTAAATACGTATCCATGTCTTCATAGACATCTGACCCATTCGAAAACAACCTACATGAATGAAAGGCAATCAATAATTTTCAAGTTAAAAAATGAAATACCTTCAAAATTTAAATACAGTATAATGTTTTTATTTTCTAACTAATACGACAAAATATAACAGCAACATCAAAATAAAAACGACCCGGGTGGCAAATACAAAATCCCTAAAGGCTGTCCGATCCTCATAATGATGAATAAATCTCCCGTGCTACACGGTCTTATCTATTATGTTTATTGTCAACTGGTTTATATTAAGTGGTACTATTTGACCTTATTATGTTTATTGTGATGTACCGTCCAGTGCAATCGGTAAACCTTGACTTTCTGTGGTAATATATAAACCAGACAGATACAGTGCTGAAATCTATATCAACATGATGTTATAAATCGTGTGATATGTTATTGCTTATGCTCTAGAATCAAACAATTTAACAGTACAATATCTTTTACATTTAAATTAGCGCCACACCTGTCTCTTATACACATCTAGATGATGCCTGATCTGTTGTGTACAATGGGCCTACGGTTCTATAGTCCTTATCCGAAAAAACTTGTCTCAAGGCGCTCGAGGTGTGGACTAGCTTGCACAGTAACTTCCTTCTCCCCTAAAGGTCTCTTCGTGTCTGAGCTACCCGATAAACCGGTACCAGCTATCACTCGTCTTATCCGAGAAGACTTGTTCCACCATCAGAAGCTTAGGTGAGCGTTCTGTTCAAACCAGCGTCGATATTATGGTTGTAGATTGCGGCGCTCCTGCCTTATTAAAACACTGGTGTAAGGTTGGTAATTATGCGTTAGGAAATGTTTACTATACCTCTTGAGATTCTTCTTGTCATTGGCAGTTGCATTGCCGTACCATAGTAGCAAGAATTATTAAATGAAATAATGAATAGTCCTTTACCGATATCATATTGTCAACTATTGAGATTTGTTTTGAGTATTCTTAAAATGTTATGACTAATCAGTATGTGAGAGAAAATCTGACAACACACATTACCGTTGTTTTTTTGGTTTTGGTAGGCCTAGTTTAGCCATTCTTAACGGCCAGTAAACCATCCAAGTACTGCTGAGTAACAGAGTTAGTGTGCATAAAAGCAGAAAATAACCTTTCCATTTATCCTGCAAATGAAATAATAATATGATATTTCAGATTCAGAATTTATTTGCGTAGTGTTATAAGTCGACGGCGAATATGGTTCATGCATTTCACAGGATTAATAAAGCTGTAGTTACTATGAAAAGCTTCAGAAAACAAAAATTGCGTTAATATAACAGTTTATTACCCGTTTAATAATATTAAAAATGTGTAAAATTACGTCATACTGTAATATGCATATCTTTGATATAATGGTATATGGGTGTCTATAACAGGCCCGTACGGAGGATTTAAATTGGGTGGGTGCGAATTTGTGGAAAGTGGACCAAAATGGGGAGGGGGCGCTTAGGACATAGCCTTTCTGAGGTCGAGTGGGCGGAACCCCCTCGCGCTCAGACGTTCTTAATATTTGAGGTCTTAATAGACTTTGAAGATGCAATATGAACTGAGTAGGCCTATTAAGCGGTTGCAGTCCAGGAAATGAGGGGGGGCCAGGGAGGGACATTCAGAGATCTACCTCAGCTCCACCATGGTTGGGGCTGAGGTCGGAAAATATGGCACCCCTAGGCAGCCGGAAATGTCACTCTAAGACTTTTAATATAACATTTTCATTTAGGGGGAGGGCCTTGGCCAGGGGGAGGCCCTGGCCGTCTGCCTCTATCCGCTCTAATCCGCCACTGGTTAGCAAACATTATTCAGTGTTTTTATTTTATCAACATTTTATCAACATTTTGATAGGCCTAACGATAAATATAGCAACTTTGATATGTTAAGGAAACTGATCTATACAAAATTAAATCAATGTAATTAAAAACATTGTGGAAATGTCATTAATTATACTATGGATTAACGTTCATTAATATGATTAAATTTAAAGAATCGTAAATAAGTCGAGGTCGTAGTAAAGTAAATCCCTACTGATTGACATAGCCTAGATGTGAAACGTGCCACTTTCAACGACGTAGTGTTCAGGACTTTCACTGCAATGTCAACATGTAAAGTTATTGAACAAGGAAAATAAAACATTACTACATTTATACGTAAAAGAAATAATGTAGGTCTATAGCGCACAATTTTAAAAGCCTTTTGGGCATTGAAAATACTAAATTTTTACCATAAATGTAAATGTTACCGGTATATTATAAATAAATGGAATTAATGGAAATTGCGAAATATGCACACACGCTTTACGTCGTGGACGAGATGGGTAGATGTCGTCAACAATATATAAAATCGAGAATTCATAAAATAAGCCTATAATGATCTGATTGGGAACAGGGTAGGGAAATCAATAAATCTATTTGTTGTTGTTAAAGCGTATACGTCTAACCATATTACCGGGCTAGGTAGGGACTTTAACATACAGGGCCGTGGCGGATTCAGGAATTCGAAATAGATGTCCAGAGAGAGAGAGAGAGAGAGAGAGAGAGAGACAGACAGACAGACAGACAGACAGACAGACAGACAGACAGAAATAGAGGCCAGGGTTCACCCACCTTAGCCGGCCACGGCCCCACCATGGCTGGGGTTGAGGAAAACAAAATTTATGATTATGACATTTATAGATGGCCGGGAATGCTCTCAGACACGATTATAAATTACTATTAATTTGTTTTTTCTCCATTTTCTTTATAACTTTCAAAATTTTATGGGACCCGGGTCGGTTCGGCCCTAACATCCCAGCCCTATCATGGTTGGGGCTGAAGTAAGAAAATTTACAATTATTATTATTATTATTATTATTATTATTATTATTATTATTATTGTTATTGTTATTGTTATTGTTATTGTTATTATTATTATTATTATTATTATTATTATTATTAACGAAAATAAAGATAATTATAGTGAAACTAGAAAAATCGGTCCGCCGAAATCTACTTTGCTGTGCTCAGCACACTTGAGCATCTTACGTCGGCAATAGATTTTGGCGGAAAGAACGATTCCTAAGCTTTTGCAGACGTGCATTATTGTTATCTAGCCATTCAGAGTGGGAAAACCAAAAGATGCAAAAGATAAAGCACCATGTGACCTATATAGTGTACGGTACAACATAAAGAGAAATCGCCATGGTGTGAGTGTTTGTGCTGTAATGTACAAAGTTGATAAATATAACGCCAGTCAACTATCAAAAACTTGATTATGAACTGAAGAATATTACTATTTTGCTTTGCAAAATAAATGTTAAAAATTACTTATATACGGCGATGTATGCAAAATAGGCTTAAGATTGGACTTAAGCCATCAACTACATTTTTATTGGTCGTTCAATTTCTAATTTCCCACCAAAAGCTTTTTCCCTCAAAAAATCTAGTAGCAACCACTCACTGTGCTGTAGTTGGTTGATGAGTGTACGGCATTTTCTAACATACTGATTCCTAACCCAACCTAACGACAAACCACTTCACCCGTGATATGTTATTGCTTATGCTCTAGAATCAAACAATTTAACAGTACAATATCTTTTACATTTAAATTAGCGCCACACTGAAGCCTCCAAAAAAAATTATATATCAACTTCCGACATTTAGCTTAATAATTGAGGGGATGTATTAAATTAAGAAGATCATTACACCTATGAGGTTCGGCCGCGAGATATTCATTGCCCAAATAAGTGTTATTGTATGGAACGCCGAGTAGTGTAGTCAATGTGTGAATTAGATATCACATGTTGGCCGTAGCTTAGTGGGTATATTGTAAAGGGAAGTCATCCGTAATAAAATCGAATTGTTGAAATAAAGAGTATAAATAAAAACGTATTGTTTGTTTTTATTTCTACATAGAAGAACACAATAGGCCTACCGTTTAAATATGTAATTTAAGTACATTATAATATTAAGATTGATTGATTTACGGAGTAGTTTTAATAGCATAATTTTTAGTTAAGAAGTGTTTCACATTTATTTTATCCTGCAAAATATTCTAAGTTGAAACTTCAATTGCTTAGAAGAAATTTAAGTTAATTAGCTGTAACTTAAGAAACTTTATTTGTATTTTGGAATATAAAGTATATAATATAATTAATCCTGCATTATAATTATTATGTATGAAACAAGCGTGCCTATTACAAGAAGATAATACGTTCCAGAAAAAAATGATTAATTGGTTACGGTATTTAAATAATTTAATTTACCTCATAAAAAGTGATTTTATCAGAGTTATCAATAATTAGGTGTAAACGAATGAAAAACATTCTACTTGGAAATAATGAATTTAATCTGGCATGAATGGCAATAAATTGCTTTAAATAGGTGTCAATCTGCCAGTACTAAGTTGCCTAGTAACAATTTATTCAGCGAGAAACGTTCCCACAAGTAGGGTCCAATGATACACTTGGGAGAATAAGACACACAGTTTGTACGAAGCCAATTCAAGAAAGAATGTTATTGGAGACAAGGAAAGAATGTCAAATGCTGAAAATAGCCGACTGACTTGTACGGAAACTGTACGAACATGTTCAGGAATGGAGTTGTTCGCCTATATACAGACCCTATAATATAGGGTCTGTGGCCATGGTCTATACGACGTGTTGATTTCTGCTGAGGCTATCGGCACTGCCGCGGTGCGAAAAAAAGCTGCAGTTTTCTATCGGCACTGCCGCAGTGCCAAAAAGCTGCTGTTTTCTATTGGCACTGCCACAGTGCGAAAAAGCTGTTATTTTCTATCGGCATTATTGCCGCAGTGACAAAAAAGCTCCGATTTTCTATCGGCACTGCCGCAGTGCCGAAACACTGCAGTTTTCTATCGGCACTGCCACTCGAAAAGCTGCTGTTTAATTAATCAAATGGATGTTTTTATCGATAGATTATGGTAGCAATAATTAGTTAGGTCTAGCCTAGACTATATTATTGTTAAAATTATATTATATATGTTTTACAATTAATTATAATTATTTCTAATTATTAAATATATACATATGTCTAGGCCTATACATAAAACAAACAAAAAACAAAAATTATAAATAAAATAGTAGTAGTAGTGGTAGTAGTAGTAGTAGTAATAATAATAATAATATTAATAATAATAATAATAATAATAATAATAATAATAATAATAATAATAAAAGTGCTCGAATAATACTATAATAATGAATAGGCGTAATAATACTTTAAATTGAACTTTTTACGATAGTTTAATTAATGAGATGAATCAGCATATATCAAATCAACTTGCCTCTATGCAAAACCTGTTTTTATAAAATAAAGATTTAATCTATATTATTCTGTTTTAAAAAATAATCTTATACATCATAAGTTTATTTTCTATGATAATTTTATCCACATAATTCATGTTTTCAATGTTAGTATGGTTGATAAATAATATATAAAATAATAATAATAACAATAATAATAATAATAATAGTAATAATAATAATAATAATAATAATAATAATAATAATAATAATAATAATAATGATGAAGGTGCTCGAATAATGCTTAATAAAGAAATAATAGTACTTCAATAATACTTCAATAGCAATAGGCCTATTATTTGCAATGGTGTGATTTATGAGATATTGTTGATTAATTTATAGAAATATATAACAGGTATATACCATTAATAATAATTCAGCATAATATTAATAAATCAACTTGCGTCTATAGATGTAAAATCTTTTTTTCAATAAAATGCTACCTATTTTATTCTGTTTCAAAAAATAATCTTATAAATTACATTATAAAGTTTCATTGTAAATTCTATGAGAATTTAATCCACATAATTTATGTTTTCATTTAAACTATTCAGTGGGCCTAACGCTGGATGTAAATGTAAAATAAAACAAAAACAAAAAACAAAAACAAAAGCATCGCCAATGTGTTTTCGTGTATGCTTTACGAATATCTTAATTAATATAATCTTAATTAATATCTTAAATTAGTTAATTACTAATTAATTAATAGATTGATATAAACATTGTGACCTATAACTACAATTTATTAATATATTTTAATTACATACAAATTCGGTAAACATACTATTGCATATACCTTAAAATAGGAGAGATGTTTTCGATTTTACAAAC